CAACATTTAATTGTTTTTGTTAAAAATTGAATTGTTTATACTCTTTCATTAGAACCGATTTAGAGTTTAAATATTTTTTTTCCTAATTTAAAAATAGAAAATAAAGAATAGGATTAATTTTTTGTTTTTAATTTAAAAAAAAAAGATTTGTAACTAAGTAATTTTATTTTTTCCACTTTGAACTATTATAAATTTTCACGTTATTGAATTTCAAAACGTTTATAATTAACGATTTAGAAGAAAAAATATTTTTCTATCCAACTTTTTCTATGAATTTTTGTCTAAAAAGTTATTTAAAATTTTCGTGATCGACAATTTAAAAAAAAATATATTTGTAAACAAAAAATTCTACTGTATTAGGTCTGAAAATACTTTTTTTTTCTCTTCATCCTTTATCGTATAAGCGTTATGAAATCCGTCGACGTATTTTCACATTGGAAATTTCACTTTCCCTGAAATGCTTTTGTGATTTAAAAATTGTTGGAAAATTCATAGTGTTGATTAATTTAAATTTTATTTTATTTTATTTCTTTCTGATTTGCTTTAAAGAACATAATTTGAAACGAAATAAAAAAAATATATATATTTATATAAAAAAAACACATAAAAAAATTCTTGTTTACACTTTCGTTTTTCATTCGCATTTAGAAATTAATTTTCAACGAAAGAAAAAAGCTTATTTTCATAAACAATAAACATCATAGAAAAAAAATCCAATATTTTGCCAAGACAGAGAAAAAAATGCAATTAAACATAATAGAAGAAATTGTGGTTAATATTTTTAGTGAAAACATGCGAAATAAATGAGTTTTCCATATATGTATGACAATGAAGAGAAAATGTCGGGACGAAGCTTATTTTAATTCCCCACCGTTAGACAAGAATTTTAATTAAAAATTAATTATCATTTTTTGACATATGTGATACTTGTTTATTTACTTACGTTTTGTTTCGAAAAACAAAAGTCAGATATAAAAAAGAATATTTTTAAAAACTAAAAACATATTTAAAAAGAAAAAATATATTTGAAAACTAAAAAATAATAAAGATAAAGGAATTTTTTTCTATGCAAATTTTTTGATATTTTCTCTTTGGAAAATTAGTATATCGAATTTTTCTGATTAACTATTTTTGAACAAAAGAAATTTATTAACAAAAAACTTTCATTGTTTTTTATAATTTAAAAAGGGGGTTAAAAACATGTTTAAAAAACAAAAAGCGTATTTAAACACAAAGGAAAACAAAAAAAACAAAAAGATGATACATTATATTTGAAAATTCATTAATATTAAAATATAAAAAGTTAAAATGTCAAAATAAGTTTAATCTTTCTGTACAGAAAAAAATTTATTATTCTCCCAACAATCAATGCCAAAAAAAAAATGTAATTTATATTTGAAAAAGCACAGCTGTCTCATATTTTCAGAATATAAACAGTAAATTTTTTCCCCTCGATATCACTATTATAGAATAGTAGACGCTTTAAGCATCCCTATAAGTTTTACTCAATCTTATAATTGACACAAAACAGAAAATTTACTATCGATTATTGATTGATATATTCGCGCAGCACTCCACAGTCAATTAAAAATGATAAATGGATGAGATTTTTTTTCTTTCTTTTTTTTTTTCTTTTTTGAAAACAAAACAAAATATTTATCTAACATATTTATAAATATATAACCTAGATCTATTGAGATTATTAAAACAAAGTTTGTACTCTACGTAACATTTTTGAAATGGTTAAACAATACCTTTAACCCATTTAGAAAAAAAAACTTGTTGATTTAAAGCGGCAAAAAAAGATAGTTTTTTTTATAAATATATGGGTCAAATATATTAATCACAGCAAGAATCCTATTGGATAATAGATGTTTCTTACTGTATTTATTTAACCGACTTAAATATCGACACGCGTATAGGTCATACACCTTTTTATCTTGATAAATACATCAAGGCAGAGGTTTATTTGATATAATTATATTTACTGTATAATATGTAAATAAAAAAGGATGAAAAAGTAATAGTCGTACAATAAAATTTGGGAATTAATAATTTATTGGGATTTTAATAATAAAATTTAAAAATTTGGTATTTGAGGTAGATTTGATCATTTTTGGGCGTTTCGCTTTTTATTTTTTTTTTTTTTAGGTTTTAGGTGTTTAAACAATCTTTTGACGTAAAATGACAAATAGAAAATAAACTACTGATAATAATGGTATATAATATTAAACAATGGAATATTATTTTGCTAAACATAATGGGGAACTGGCAATCTTGTTTAGAGATGTTGTATATAATATATAATTTCCAACGACATTTGTAGCACAAAACTTTTCATACAAAGTTGTTGTTACGAGAATATTTTATACAGATGGGATTTTTATTCAAGACTTAGAGTTTACCAGATTTTTAGTTTACCTGATTTTTAATTTACCAGATTTTTAATTTATTACTAAATTTTTTATTTACTGGATTTGTAATTTTCCAGATTTGTAATTTACTAAATTTTTTATTTATCGGACTTAGAATTTACCAGATTTGTATTTTAATAGATTTTTAATTTACTAAATTTGTAATTTATCAGATTTGTAGTTAACTGGGTTTTTAATTTACCAGATTTGTAGTTCACCGGATTTTTAATTTACAAGAATTATAATTTACCTGATTTTAAATTTCCCAGATTTGTAATGTATTACTAAATTTTTAATTTACTAAATTTTTAATTTACTAAATTTTTAATTTACCAAAGTTGTAATTTACCAGATTTATAATTTAAAAGAACTTTCATAATCAGTTTACTCAAAATTAATTGAATTGAATTTTCGTATGTAAATAATTTTTCGAATTAACAATTCTCATTCTACAGCTTTTTCAAATTCACTAGACATTTTTTTATCTGAAATTTAATTTAATAGAATTTTGATTTTCAAATTTTTCTTTAAATTAAAAAGACAATTTCTTTAATCGAATTAATTTTTAAGAAATAAATTCAAGAAAAACTGTGTTAAATTAAAATATTGTAGGATAAAATAAAAATTCTATTGAATAAAACTAGTAGACAGAATTTTTTATATCCGAATTTTCATTTAACAAAACAAAACAAAACAAAAAATTTCTATTGAACATAAATTATTTCATTCAATATGTGTAGAATTTGTCAAAAGGAAATTACATTCAGCAGAAGTTATGTAATACGAAAATTCTTTAATTAAGAAATTCTATTAAGCAGGAATTCAATATTACAGAAATTCTTTAATAAGGAAATTTTTTTGTCGAAAAATTTTGTTTAACAGAATTTACATTCTCAGGTAATTTTGTAATAGCGAAATTTAATACAAAAATAATAAAAACATTTCTGTCATAAAGAAATTCTATTAGGCAGAATTTAACTTAATTCAAAATGTATGCAATACAAAATTTTTGTTATTCAAAAAAACTGTATTTAACAGAAATTAGGTTATAAAGAAGTAGTATTAAACAAAAATTTTTTAACAAAGATATTCTTTAATACAGAAATTCTGTTATACAGAAATGACATTAAACAGATTGTATTAAGCAGAAATTCTATTAACTAGAAATTTAGATAAACAGAAATTTTATTAAGCAGACATTTTGTTAAACAGGAATTCTAATCAGCAAAAATTTAGCTAGTATTTCTATACTGTTAAACAGAAATTCCATTAGGCAGAAATTTTGTTAAACAAGAATTTTAATTAGAAAAATTTTGTTATACCGAAAATTAATACAAAAATAATGCAATTATTCCGACTACAGAAATTCTATTAAGCAGAAATACTGTTAAACAGAAATTCTATTAGGCAGAAATTTTGTTAAACAGGAATTCAAATCACCAAAAATTTTATTATGCAGGAATTCTATTAATCATAAATTCCATTGAATAGAAATTGTTGAAGAAAAACGTTATTCTGCATGCAGAAGTTAAGTTACACGGAAATTCTATTTAGCAAATATTTTTTAACCCAGAAATTCTATAATACAGAATTTCTGTTATACAAAAATGTTATTAAACAGAAATTCCATTTAACAAAAATTTTGTAATGTACCGAAATTTAATACAAAAATAATACAATTTTATTCTGACTACAGAAACTCTATTAAGCAGAAATACTGTTAAACAGAAATTCTATTTAGCGGAAATTTTTTTAAAGAGGAATTTTATTAAACATAAATTCCATTCAATCGAAATTGCCAAACATAAACTTTATTTTGCTGAACTTTATTTGTATACAGAAATTGTCTTAAGCAAACATTTTTTAATAAAAAAATTCTTTAACACAGAAATTTGTACGAAATGACTTATCCCTTCTACAATATAAATAAAAAGTAATAAATAAAAAAAACAATAGATAAAAATTCAAACACCCCTAATATCAATTCCATTTGATTAAATTACATCTAAATTGAAATTCGACTCCATAAAATCTGATCCAAGGAAAGATGAAACGATCAAAAATTCATCCCTCTGAATTTTTTCCTCACACATTCTTCCTTGAGGTATTCAACATTAATACAGAATATATTGTATAGAAATAGAAAAGGAAATAAAATGCATCAGATTGAACGTTAAACTATAAAAATTCAATTAATCATCATGAAGCTAAATTGTCCATAAATATAAGAAAAAACGGAAGAAAAGAAGAAGAAAAAGATGAAGAAGGAAAAAAAGTATCTAAACTGATCATTAAAGACGAAGAATCGAATGAGCCAAAAATACTATTTCACACCTACGCAATATAGGTATCTATTGAGAGGTCAGAAATCGCAGCTCTTCAGGGGGTGAAATTCTCTCTTCATCAAATAAAACAAGAGGATGACGTTTGTAAAAGGGGCGAAGTTTCTCTCTCTCTCTCACACTCACACTCTTTCTCACTCTTTTTCGTATGTACGCAATAATGTAAACACTGTCAAGTTTTCGCGCTTGCGTGGCTCCCACCATAAGCAGAGGAAAGTATATAGAAGAGCATAGAAACCATCGGTCGAGACACATTGCACATTCTGATAACGAAGAGGGTGGGCTTTTTGCAGAAAGTGGTAACAAGTGTCAGTAACATTGCACACGCATCGCATCAAAAAAAAAAAAATTATTTTTTCGCGCCAAAAATTTTTTTAAATAAAACTGTACACTTGATAAAATGATAGAGAAAATTTTTTTTTGAAAATTTATAATTTAAAAAATTCCATAAATATTCAAATCCCATAATAAAGAGTTGCGACAAGTGTTAAAAAAAAAGGAAGAAAAAGTCCTTCTTTTTTTAAAAAAAAAGTGTAATTTTATTTCTTTTTTCAAAGCAAATTTTTTAAACCCCAATTTTTTTTAACCTTCGTTTTCATGTCTAATGAAAAAATATTCATCGTGAGACTGAGAGTGATTGAAAATTAAAGGGGGGGAGGGAATCGTGATTCGAAGAAGGAGAGGAAAATAAAAGCGATCAAAACGAAGCACAAACGCAATCACAAATGGCGAACACGATATTTGGAATAATTTTTAATTATATTCTTATTTTTGTCATTACGTTAATTGTCCCTGGAATTTTTGCTCGCACATTTTATGATAAAAATATTTCAAATCAAGAATTAAACAACTTGGACTACAATAATTATAATTTGGATGAATATCAGGTGAGTGGACAATTTTTTCTTACTACTCGCATTGTCTCATCTCATTAATTCATCCTCATTATTAATCAAATTAATAAAATTAATTCAATATTCATTTGTTTAAATTTTAATGGTTATAGTTAAGTATCAAAATAAAATATAGAAAATAATTCAAGAAATTAAATATATTAAAAATAATTAGAATAATTAAAAATAATTAATTTTTTGTTAGTAATTGAAAAACAATTATTGTAAAGTTAACTAATCATGGTCTATTAATTACAGTACAATTAATCATTAATTAATTTTACAATAATTAATTATAAACATTTAATTACAGTAATTAATATTAATAATAATATTTACATATTTTGCTTACAAATGTTTTCTTTATACAACAAAAATATTTTATTTATATAATAAAAATATTTTATTCACATAGTAAAAATATTTTATTTTCATAATAAAAATATTTTATTCACAAAGTAAAAATATTTTATTTATACAAATATTTTAATTCTTATTTATATAATATATAATTAACCAATCAGAGTAACTTGATTAATTAATCATAATTTCACAGAAGAATTAATTAATTAATGAATTTATTTATTTATTTAGAATATAAACGGGAAAATTAAAAAATATTTATTATAAGTTTATTTTTATTCTGTTCTCCTTTATCCTTTATTTATAAATATTTATAGTTATTTTTAAATTTATATTGAAAGTTTTTGAACAATCCACAAGTTTTTAACGTTCAAGTAACAAAAATATTTATATGTTTCTAAAGTTTCGAACGTTTCATTGAACGACAAAATTTTTCTAATTATTTTGATTTGTTATTTTTTTTGTGCAGAAAAATTACTTTGTATACTAAAAAAAATAATTCTTGACTAAGTAAATATTTAATTTTTAATTATTTTTATTTTTTGAATAGTAATTTTTAAAAACGTTTAGAAAAAATGTTTGTAGAAAAAAAAAATTTCGTTCAAAACTTTAGGAAAATATTAATTAAAAAAATTTTTGCATAAAGTATTGATTGTAATATACAAATTTAACATCTAACATTTAGAAACTTTGTAATTAATTCTTTGTTACGTGACGCAAAATTATTGTAATAAAATTTCAATTCGAAGAAGAAACAAACAAATTTTGTAAATTTAAATGTTTAGAACGTTGGGAACATGCTTTTGATTTTAATGAAATAATTTCATTTTCTAAAAATTACTTTTTACGTCTATTATTAATTTTCATCCACATTTTACTTATTACGATAATTAAAGTTTAAGAATTATTTTAAAATAACTATTTTAAATATTTTTAAAATTTATTTAAATAATATAAATATTAACTTTAACATTTACATTTCTATGAATATTACATTTCATTCCTGATATTTTATTATAATTATAATAATTAATACTTTAAAAATTCTTTGTTCACAAAAGTGGGAAGAAATTTCAAAAAATTACTGTTTTTGAACATTGATTTTCAAACAAAACAAACTGATCTAATTTTCACAAAGCGATTGAATGTAATTTCACGTATTTGCATCATTATTATGTGTCAATCAGAAATATCTTTATTTAGAAGCAAAGTCCCAGTGTGAAATCGAAATTTAATTAAAACTTTTATAATTATAATTGTAAATTTAGAAAAAAGTCCATGTTTTTTTATTTCGAGAAATTGAAAGAAATAACTTTTTTAATTACATAATCACTAATAGTTGATTTTAAAATTGAAAATTTGTAATAATTTATTTCTAAAGCAATATTTTTATTTTTAACGTTTTGTTTCAAATCAAACTTGTATAATAATAATTTAATTGATTTAAAGGCTTTGCTAATTTTTTCTATAATCGAAAATATAAAATTTTTTAATTATCTTGATTGTGACCAAAATGTTTTTAAATTAAAAATTATTTGATAATAAATTTACGTCCCTGAAGTTAGCGTCGACGCTGAGCACCGAAAAGAATTTTTTTCACGAAATAAACAAAATTTAGACAATTGTTTCGAAGATTTCAGATTAAAAAAGTGCCTTGATGATTTTTTAATTTCCAAATTGAATGAAAAGTCGATTTGAGAGGGTCTTAAAATATTAAATTTACGTTTATATAACAATTTTTTTTTAAAATGGATTTATCAATTTTCGAAAATAATTTCTCCTCTTATATGTGTGCTAATGTTTAATATTTTATTGAAAAAAATATATTATGCAATTTACTTATATAAGTAAATTGCAACAAGCGAAATCAAGTTATAAAATTAATGGACTTTGTGAATTACATTTAATCCTTTGAATGTCGGGGAATTTTCCAATGCAATATAATATTTTGACAATTATATTATAATAGACTAACATTAGCAGTAATAAGCGAATTCTATATATATATTGTAAAATTATATCTCACCTTATTATTTTATCATTATTCGAAATTAATCTACGGTAATTATGAAAATTGCATACAATATGCATTTTAACTAAATACTGTTTATTTAACTTTAAAGATAAATTTGTTATTTTTATAGTCATTCATCAATAGATGCTATAAAAAATTCATTTAATATTTGAAAAAGATTTTTTAAAAGGTTTTTCTAAAAGGATTTTTTAAAAGAGTTTTTTTTAAAAGAGTTTTTTCCAAAAGTGGTTTTCTAAAACAGTTTTTCCAAAATAGGGTTTTCCAAAAGAGTTTTCCTAAAAATGTAAATTCTCTCCTCCAGTAATAAATTAAATGCAATGCTCTTATTTTAATATAACATGTTAAATTAAAGTAAGATGCAATGCTTTTATTTAAATTTTTTAATGTAATAAAATAAGAGCGTTTCCATTTTATATTCTTAAATGTAATGTATAAATTTAGTATGTTTAAAGCATTTTAGAATAAATTTATGCGAGAAATAAGTGAATAAAATAAAATGCAACACTTTGCAATAATTTTGGATTCATTTAAAAACATGATTATGAAATTTTCATGTATAATTTTGTCAGAAGAATAAGGGAAAAAAGTTTTAGATACAAATAACTTAACTTGAAGTAAAGCCACGGCGGAAGATTGTTGTCAAAATAACTAGAATAGTTTTAACTTAATGTAATTTTGAATTCTGATGATGTGGAAAATTAAACAACTGCCTATACGTTGTCCCTTTCTCATAAATAAAAATATTCTAAAAATATTTATTTGATATTAGACACTTGTCTAATTATTTGAATCAAAGAAATTTTTCTTCAGAGTATATATTTGGTATATATGAAGAATTAACAATTAAACTCAAAAATAAAATTCTTGAATTAAAAATTAATTCTTTAAATTAAAAACTAATTTTCAGCAATAGAAATTAAATTTTTAGTAGGTATTAGTTATAATATACAAGTAATGGTAAAAGAAATTTATTTGATTCGAATAACCGATTACTTCCCTGTTATCAAATAAATATTTACTTGAATCAAATAATTTTTATTTCAATAAAAAGAAATTGGAGTTGAACCAATAATTTATTTAAAGTTGATCCTCTTTGTGTATTTTAGTTCAAAAAAATTACAAACATAACCTTCAAATTTGTTGCTTCTTAGTTACCTTTCTTTGGAGCTGGTCACATTTTTTTTAAATTGATTTTAAGTATCAATTTATTTAATGAAGGAATTAATTCAAAGGCTCTAAAAAATTAGAAACGATAAAAGTATCGTAAAGTAAAGTAAATTAAAAATTTTAATCCGTTTATATTAATTGCCAAACTCTCTAAATTTGATTATAAATAATTATAGAATTACGAATATTGACGAACATTTTGAGATTCAACATGGAGATTCTATGTACTCTCCACCTGCGAACGCCAAGGTCACCGTTAGATGGTAGTTCAGTTGATAAAATCAAATTCCTCGCCACCTAGTGGCGACCTTGGCGTTCTCAAGTGGAGAGATTCAAACACCATTTTATCCCTCAAACATTTTTTTTTTAATTAAAAGAAATTAAATTTTTAGTAATAGAAATTAAATGTTTAGTACCCAATAGTAATAATATAGTAATGGTATACAGTACAAACCTTTTACTTGTTTATTAGCAAATAAATGTGTATTTACTTACATTAAATAATATTTACTTGAATCAAATAAACTTTGTTTGAACCAACAATTTCAGTATTTGTGGCAAATACCATTTAATTGACTTGAATAAAAATTATTTGCTACTATTTATTATAAAACAAATAGTTATTTATTCTCAAATAAATATTTATTTATTCGATAACAGACAAGTAATAGTTTATTTGCATCAAATAAATTTTTTTCAGTAGTGTCAATATGAATATAGTAATAGTAGAGTAATTTAGTAATATTTTTAGTAATTGTTGTTTTATTAATAAAAATTATATTCTTATTACTAAAATACTGAAGTTGTTTAAATACCAATTATGTACTTTGCAAATTATTTCGGTTAATCAAAAATAGTTACAAAATTTCCTACAGAACTTATTCCAATGACGTGATGATGATGGCACTACCTAATCACCCTTAACATTTACCGTTATAAATTTTCAAAATACCCTAATTCTTTTTAACGTCGCAAAATGAATATTTGACATAACGCCGGTTAACATTCTTCCCTTAATTGCACCCACGACTCCCATTCGCTTTATATCAATTCTCGTATGTACATTAAATCTTTCATGACTCTTTTTTCTCTTTCGCGTTTTTTATTCTTTTCTTTTTTTCCTTTTTGTTAAACGTATAATTTTAAAGACACACTTTTTTCCAGCAATAATTTTAACTAATTAATTTGCCAAAATATTTACTTTATTTATTCTCTTTCGAGTTTTTAATTTCTTTCCTTCGTATAATCTTAATGACACACTTTTTTCCATAAATCATTTTAATTATTTATCTGAATATTTATTTATCTATTTATTTATTTTTTTTATTTATTTCTTATTTATATTTTTCTTATTTATTTATTTATTTATTTATTTATTTATTACAAAGCCAAATTATTAAAACATTTATCTGAACGTAGAAATTGTGTG